GTGTGTGTTGTCTGTGTGTGTGTGTTGTCTGTGTGTGTGTTGTCTGTGTGTGTGTGTGTTGTCTGTGTGTGTGTGTGTGTTGTCTGTGTGTGTGTTGTCTGTGTGTGTGTTGTCTGTGTGTGTGTGTGTTGTCTGTGTGTGCGTGTCTGTGTGTGTGTGTGTCTGTGTCTGTCTCTGTGTGTGTGTGTGTGCGTGTCTGTCTGTGTGTGTGTGTGTGTCTCTCTGTGTGTGTGTGTGTGTCTCTGTGTGTGTGTGTGTGTGTGTCGGTGGTGTCTCGTGTGTGGTTGTGTGTCTGTGTGTAGTGGGTCGTCTGTGTGTGGTCTGTGAAGGGCTGTGTGTTCTGTATGTGTGTCTGTGGTGGGGTGTCTGGTATGTGTGTCTGTTGTGTGTGTACTGTGGTGTGTCTGTGTGTGTCTGTGTGGTGTGTGCTGTATGTGTGTGTCATGTGTGTGTCTTGTGTGTATGTGTGTGTCTGTGTGTTGTCTGTGTGTGTCGTGTGTGGTTGTGTGTTGTCTGTGGTGTCTGTGTGTGTCTGGTGTTGTCTGTGTGTGTATGGTGTGTCTGTGTGTCTGTGTGGGTCGTGTGTGTCTGTGTCCTGTGGGTTCTCGGTGTGTCTCTGTGTGTCTGTGTGTGTCTGTGTGTGTCTCTGTGTGTCTTTGTGTGTCTCCTGTGTGGTTGTGTGTCTGGTTGTGTGTGTCTCTGTGTGTGTGTTCTCTGTGTGTGTGTCTCTGTGTGTGTGTGTCTCTGTGTGTGTGTCTCTGTGTGTGTGTCTCTGTGTGTGTGTCTCTGTGTGTCTGTGTGTGTGTGTGTGTGTCTGTGTGTGTGTGTGTGTGTGTGTCTGTGTGTGTGTGTGTTTGTTTGTTTGCACCGGTGCTGTCATTGACCTGCTGAAGCTTTACGACTGTTTCCCAACACGAAGTACTTGCAAAAAATGCGAAGTGGCTCAGGCCAGCTCTCTGCTGTTCGAGAATGCTTCGCGCTGGGCCGAGTCGGGAAGTCACAATGTTGTATCGTCCTTCATTATCTGCTTTCCACGAAGGAAAAGCAAGAAATTGCCGGCATTGCCTAGGTCATTGAGCTGCCGGAGATCTCCCAGGCCAGGGGATCTTTGGGCTCTGCTGGCCTTCTCCATTCTGAGAATATGTTCAAGTCTCGATGTTCCCGCTTAGCCCTTCAGACTGCCAAACAAGCAACTTACGCCACGGCTGAGCCGCATGACAAGCACGACACCCAAAAGCCCACGTGAACAAACTTGAGAGGCATGACTGAGAAGTTCTTGTCAACGTTTGAAGCTTGCTCCTGGGACAAGGCTTGCTGTGAAACAGTACTGCCGCCGGAGGCTTGATCAGGGAAGCATCGGAGAGTGTGTACTGTATGGTGCGCTCGTTCAGCATTTGTGCGATGGGCTGGAAACAACATTCGAAGCTTCAAATTCAGAGGACATAATGTGGTCTAAAGCTTCTATAGTATCTAACCTCCCTTTCGAGAAAGTTACGGTAGGGGCTGCTGTTTCTCGATATGTTCTAATGTTAATAATTTTATTGCAACTCGACCCGCCTCGGCCTGCGGCGAGGCAACCGAAACCGGAGATCGTGGTTGTGAAGCCTGTTGCATATGTAGGCTCATGTATAGACCAGGCACCCCAACTGTGGGAGTGGCAAAGCAGGAAACCTCGACTGTGGGAGCTGTAAAATAAGAAAACAAGCAGGCCGGGAAATCACGGTAGAAGAGGTGTAGGGTTGAAGGGCGAGGGGGGAGGGGGGGTGGAGCAATCTGTCGCGGACCGTTGGGGGACCAGAGGCGGGGTACTCATACCTTCTTTCTGCTACCCAGACGCCTACGTCCCGAGGCCTCGGTGGATTAATCATGAGCACACAGCCACGGAATGTCAGTGTCCTGAACAGTCGCAGACTCACATGAAAGTCAGAAGAGTCAGGAGCGTTACTTACGAGTCCGCATTGATGATCACATGTTTCCACATAGTTCGCCCGAGATCTAGTTTGGGAGGTTATGGCCGAAGCACTGTCGGCAATGCTGCAAGCGCATGGCCACCGTCAGGCCAGCTTTGCATGCACTCTAGATTCTAGTTCTATGGTTGGATGTAGCCACTAAAGACTGGCAGCATCACTCTCGACGAACCCACAATGGACAACGGGGTTCCTAGCAACTCACGACAAAGCCAACAAACCAGGCGGTTCCATGGCTTCTGCAGGCGATCTTTATCTCACATTCCTATGGCACCTTCGTGATGAGCTGGGTGCTCCAGTTCAGGAGAGAGAGGGCCTAGGATAGGCAGCACATTGCAAGCTTTTCATATTTCATAGAATCCCCCCCCCCAAAGGTATCTCCCCCCCGCCTCCCCCCCAACTCTGCTGGTAATCTCCGCAAAGCCGCAAACGCGAAGCCTTAAAAACCGCGAAACATCGCGAAACCCAAAACCGGAAACCCGAAGCCCCAAACCCTCAGACCGAAACTCCAAATTCCCTGAAGCCCTGAACCCGAAAAACACCCCGCAACCACACCCGGGGCACAACCATATCCACATACATGTATACATGTATACATGTATACATGTATACATATATACATATATACATATAGACATATGTCAGGCAAGAACGTTTACGTATCATTTGCCTACATATATATATATACGTACATACATACATACGGTTGTGTTTGTATGCCTGCACGCATGCATGTTTTGCAGTATATGTAATATCAGTAACACTGTATGTGCCTGAGCCACGAGGAGAGATTTCGTGGCAAAGGTTGTGCTGCTGGATCCCGTAGCTCTGCTCCTGGCCCAGCCAGACGTTGCCTACAACTTCCTCTACAGGCCCAGCCCGGCACGGGATTGGCATGTCGCGTTCGTCGCAGCATGTCTGCTGAGAGCAGCATTTTGCAGTCTTTAGCTTGACTCCAAGCGTCCCTGAAGGCAACCTGACCAGCCGATGCTCATGTTTGCTGCGCACTTTGCCGCTTGGTCATTGAACATCATGCAGCCTGTGATGCTTCCACTGGTTGGATCGGTCCCTCCGACCACTCTTTCACGGACTGATGCAGCATGGGCACGGAAAAGGTGCGAGCATGACCCTGGCTTGTGCTGCTCCAAAGTGGATGCTGCATCTGATTCTACATGTTATTTCGGACACCCTATTGGCTTGACCTAGTGCCCCTGTTCAAGCAAGCTTGAACCAAACCGACTGATCAAGCCATACAGGCGATTGCGAGTCCTTCCATCTATGTACCTGATACTGCATCTGTTGTCCAGAGTCTGAACTTACTCAGCCAAGGTTAGATGGGAATTATTCTCCGCTCACGTTTTAATGCGCAGCCTACCAGCATTTGATTCGAGAATGCACTGTTGCACAGATGCTCTAAGGTCTGTTCACTCGTGCTCGCACTCCCTGCTGTAGTGTTCGCGTTTTTGGTTCATACAAGGCCACTTCTATTGGCACCACAATGTGCTTTGGAAAGAGGACTTGCCTCCCAACTCACTGGTGGCTCCTTTGCCTGAGATTTTGACGGTAAGTGCATCAAAGGGTGATCAGCTTTTCGATCACCAATGCCACCCAGGTGCTTTCTAGCCATGATGACATCTGCCCCTCGGTGATGGATGTGAAATTCCAAATCCCGAGCATGCTACTAGCATGGTATTCCACAAGAACCGCGATGCGTGGCTTTCTCAACCCCAGGTACCACCAGCCGTCACTAGCCCCCAAAGCAGCTGAATTCCAGCATGGATGCTGGACGAAGTCCCCTACAATATCTCAAGCTTCAGGACACTAAACTTCCTGGTTCTCCTACTTATAACTTTACTTCTGCCAACCCGTGAACCTCATGGTAGGCCGTGTTGTTGGGGTGCTGCAGCAGTGCGACACTTAATGGAATGCAACACTCGATCAGAACGATTGAAGGAGAGGTGGGCAAAGACATTTCAGCGCGCAGTGCATGGGAGACAGAACAGGCAGAGTGAAGCCAGACGCCAACACTCCGATGTTATCAACGCAGGGTGCAACTTTAGAACTCGGCCAAGCATCCATAGCTCTCCCTCCTCCAGTTGCAGGCCTGTACTTCACGCGTGCGCAGATGTGCCAAGGCAACTCGCACTATGTGCGCCGGTACCTGGAGGACCACCAGCGTGAAGCTGCTACATCGAAGCGCTGACCCTAGGGACCACGCAGATTCACTATAGAGGTCTCTTGTGCAGAGAATATGCCATGATCCGCACAACTGAGGCTGCAGATGCTGTGGCTCGAAGGCTTCTTCCATGGTATCGCGCCCAGAACATTGATATTGAGTCACTGGGAAGTCTTTGCTTTCAGACATTGAGTATTTTTCGGATGTTTTCAGACTTGATGAGTGGCGCATGTCCAATGGACAGTCTCATCTCATCTTTGCTCACAAGGCGGCATCCTTTTGAGCCCAGCCGCGCAGACTCAAGTCCTCGAGTTGATCTGAGCGTCGCAGGTGGAGTCCCGAGATATCTTTAGGGAGGTATCATTCGGACAGCCCTTGCAGGGCATCACAGACGCCTCAAGCGGTCAGGAACCTCTGTGGCCAAGAAGCCATGCGGGATGACACTGGGCCCGCAGCTGTTTAAGCTGATTCACCCAGAGGCACCTTTTAGGGAAACCTCTGAGCGTCACGTTTCTCGACAATGGGCTTAACAGAAGCCTGTTATGAGCCAACGCCAGTCTTTTCGGCATGGTGAAAACAGCTGACACCCTACGGGTTGACTACCTGACTGGCTGAATATTGGCACCTCTGGCCTGAATCGTTCGACTGGATTCTTCTTGCATAAGCACATAGATGCATACGGCAGCAAGCTAGCTAGAATGCTGCACAGGAACCATATGTTAGAAATGGCATCGGGCTGAATGACTGCCGGTAGATGTCGCTAACACTGTGCTAGCAATGCAGCGTGTTCTTATTGCAAGAATATTTCCCAATCCGAATAGTGTCCAGTTCCATCCCAATTGCCGTGCTTTGTGCAGGCCGAAGGCAGCACCGTCCCGCCTCAGCTCCTAGACGCAGCCCCTTGAAAGAACCAGAATTGTGAGTCGGCAGTGTCCTAGCTCGGTGTCTTCTTTCCGAGTTCAGACAATCGGAAGTCGCTACCCATTCCTCCCTGTTTTGATACAATCAATCTTCCCAAACCCTCCCCCACCCTCCACAACACACTATCGGTGAGGCTGCGCTGGATGTCATAGCCCACCCGCTCCTGTTTCAAACTGTGCCTGCTTCAAAGCCTGGACTCGCTAAGCCGAAACCCTAAAACCCGACACAAAGGCCCCTAAGCCCCAGTCCCCATCAAAGAGTATGCATGGACCTTACTTTTGCCGCAAGTTGTTTCGCAGTCACTAGGTCTTGTCTGGTGGAGCGGTCACTTGTCTGCACTGGTGTTGAATGGCTATGCTCGGGACTGTCACACAATGTCACGCAACACGTAACTCTAAGTTTCTAAGATGAGATGTTCGGATGAGAAATGTCCTGAGAATATTGGAACATCCTGCTCTGTGACATGAAAAATGCCTGGAAGCTTGTGTGATTGCAAGTCGAAAGCCTCACAAGCTACTGTTGCGATGTCGAACCTGCATGCCAGGTCGTCCGGCAAGGGCGGGTTGTGTTGCGAGGACTGCGGCTCGTCAAGGTCCCTCCGGCCCATGTTCCAGCAGTTTCCAGTCAAAGGGCCTTGTTTTCTCGCACCAAACCAAGCGGGACTGTGCAAAGATTGAAGAAATCGTAGTGTGCCTTTCTGGACACCATGGACACACTTCCCAGCATCAACCACAGAGGCGTTGCGTGTGGGCAAAGCAGCGGGTGCGCTTGCTTCTGCAGGCCCTTAGGGGAATGGGAGCTTGTGCGTCTTCGGAGCACCATATTCGAAGGCTTTCGCATGCTTACATGCTTCAACTTTCCACAATCGGTTGGACCAATGAAGCTGCTGTCAATTAGTGATTTTGGGCACACATTGTGCTGGACTTCCTGTCCTGTGACCTCCAATGGAGGAAATTCCTGACATCATCCACCAAATTGAGGCACACTTAACCGTAGGGTGGACAACAAAGCCCACGCAAAGCCCTAAATGTTTAGAACGACATGGAAAGAAAGCCGATTGTAGGCTTTGGGCAACACACACACGTACGCATACGCACGCATGCACGCACGCACACACACACACAAGTACAGACGTTGCGGCCACAGGCAGGGGTTGAATCGACCAGAAGCCGAACGCGTTGCAAAGCCGAATTAGTTCTTAAAGGGCCCACTAGCGAAGACGCGTTGCGAGGACTGCCAAGGCGGATTAGGGGGCGAAGATGCGTTGCGAGGCCGAATTGGGAGGCGAAGACGCATTGCGAAGCCGAATTAGGAGGCTCGGCAAACCAAGGGGCGCGAGGGTCGCTTGGGCGCATTCAACGCCAAAGGATGCCAAAAGCAGCTCTTCGTCAAAGCCCCAAAGTGGCTCCCCCAAGCCATCCTGTTGGTGTCGGCGTCAGGAACTAGTGCGGCGTCAGGGGCTAATTCGGATTCACAATTCGGCGTGAGCGGGTAATTCAGCTTCACACTTCGGCGTGATCGGTTATTTGCTTTACAATTCGGCGTGATCGGATAATTCGCCTATCAGGCGGTATTTCGGCTTGACAATGGGGGAATTCGGGATCACAATTCGGCGTCAGGTGGCAATTCGGCTTCACAACTCGGCGTCACAGTGCACTTCGGCTTCACGCCTTAATTCAGAGTCAGGGGACAGTTCGGCGTTACCCCGCAATTTGTGGCATCGGACAATGCGGTCACAATGCGGCGTCACCTACGGCAATGCAGCTTCACTAGCTCGGTTTCGGTTTCGGGTCGATTTAACCCCCCCCTCCCCGTCGCCTGGCATGAATTAATAGTACACACACATCATACACTGTCACTGTATACATATTTATATCTGTCTTCCATTTATTGATTTGTCTATGGTGTATGTGTGTTTATGTGGTGCTGTTGCGGGGCGCAGCAGGCACGAGCTGGGCCAACTTGGGCGGCTTCGTCGGCCAAGCAATCGGGCAGAAAGACTGATAAAAGCATATGATTGTTTGCAGAGGTCCTTTGGTGAAGCCAATGAAGGCATTGTTTGAAGAGCTTTTGAAGGCTTTCAGGACTGGACGCGCCGGTTTGGCCAAGCAAATCCAATGTCGCAGCCTTGATGAACTGGCAATCTCGCTAGCGCTTTGAACAGCAGAGGCCATAGCCGGAAGCCTGCTCGATGATGGCAATGCAACAACTGCGATGGCCACTGCCCCTTCGGCATTGGTTGGCATGACACGGCATCATGACATCTCCTTGAGGTATTTGATGCGCAGTCAGCTTTCCTTGCACATGATTGCGCACGTGGCCATCCCAAGTTGAGCCACTCGCTTTGCTGTGAAATGCCTTCTCTGAGAGGCAGCCGGGGGCTGGGCTGGGGGCTTGGCAGGCAGGCTCTGTACAAGTTCGGACTTCCATCCGCAATGCTGTTTGTACATGCCATTACGAGCAGAAGTTTTGTGCCCCACGCACATCACCAGCATTCGCCAACGCGCATTGCACCCACGTTGCAGTATTCTGTAATGGTGACCTTCACGGTTGAATATATCTGCCCCAAAAGCTAATTTGAACGCCATTGACTTCTACAATCCTCAAGCTCCCGAATGTGACGACCCCGCAGGAAGCGGAGTGGCTGCTGCGGCCGCCTCCAGTTTGGGCATTGAGGCGGCGTAGGAAAAGCAGTTCCTTCCTGTCCAGGTCATGAACCAGCTTCCTTTGTCATTGGAGATCATTGGAAACTCGAAGCGATCCTCTGCCTTAGCTGTAAAAGTCTCACGTCTCGACAGGCCCTGGGTGCTGGCTCCGTGGCCGGAGGCCTGGTGGTGTGCGGCTCTCTCAGCGCGGTGGGCGTGCCTTGACATCGCACAGGACAGCTTTTTGGCACAGGCTGGGCGTCCGTTGTGTTGTTTTGCACGTGAGTTTCGCACCCGAGGCAGTGGCCGGCGCCGGCCTTGCCTTCGCTGTGAAGCGGTTGGTGGCAGACCAGGTCTAAGCTTCGGCGCTCAGAGCTTGGTCAAAGCAAATAAGGTTGACAAAGAAGTTTAACAGGTAGTAAGGGTTGAGGGTGCAAGCAAGCCTGCGTCCTCGTTCAGTGGTTCTAGTTTCGAAGCTTCAGTCCCCTGTCAGGGTGCGCAGCCAGACCGGAGCGCCGAGTCCCCTGGCAATCAAGGGATGCTTATGGGCACTGTCGCCTTTAGCTCCCACTCCCAACTGTGCCGATTCCTGTCGGAAATGAACTGTAGTAATTTTCCTGTTGCATAGAGTCAGAAATCTGGTGCCCTGTGTGATCCTTTGTGTTAAGATAATTGAAGATGCCGTGCTTCATGCATTCCTTCGCGGCTGAGGCGTGGGCTACTCGAAGCCCTTCAGTGTTTGCTTTAGACCTTCAATTTAGCGCGTTTCGTGCTCGACCAGCCAGACAGAGCAAACTCGTTTTTCAGCTTTAATCACACCGTGTTGGTCAGTTAACGGTGAAGACTGAACAGCTACTATAGACATGAACATGCTCAACTTTCAGCACAATGTGCTGCTCCAACGACATCCTAAATTAAAACCAGAGCTTTGGAAAATGGTGTGACTTGCAACTGTCGCTTCTCGATCTGGGCTATCGCGTAGAGAAGCTTGGATGTGCAAACAGACACAGGACCTCTATACTCTCTATACTCTTAACTGAGACGAGGTACTTCGACTGTCCGCTGCGCCTTCTCGGCAGCGCTGACGATGTAGCCAAGATGCACCAAGGGCCAATGAGGAGTCACTGCGTGGACTGTTCAAGAGCCTTCCCTTCGGATGGCCTTTGACAATTTCATCTCAATTTCATGTTGCAAGCCTTCCAGGTCTTTCACCTTTTCGGCGCCAGCCTCGAGTTCCCACCTGAAGATGGACGCTGTGCCTGTACAAGGGGGCAACGGTATGCAACGGTGGCCAACGAACCTTACAGTTCTCCCTCAGGGGCGACTTGCAGTCTTCGATACAGGTCAACTCTGTACGGTCTACAAATTAGGGGTGAGAACCTGGCGTTCTGTGTTCGCATTGTTCGCACTGCCTTCACGCCATTCCCGTTTCCGAATTTTCCGAGCGCTTTGAGTCTCAGCCTGAGCTCCAGGAGTCGTCCTCTCAGGTGAAGCAGAAGAGACGTCACTTGGCCTTTTTTGGCCTTAAATTGACCCTGAACTATCTGAACTCTTCATCACTTCATGCGGTTTGCTAGCTGCAAGAAACCCACTTCTGCGGTCAGGCCACGTCTCGCTGCTGCTGGGTGGTATGCCGTGAGAGTGTCCGGGGCACTGCCAGCAGACTGATGCCAATGAGAACAAAATTGACGCAGCTGGAGTTGATCACTTCGCGATGATGTTGACATATGTTGACTGATGTTGTTGTGTGCTGCAAATGCTGTGAACGCAACTGCGCTTGATGCGATGACATTATTGTGGCGTGCGCAGACTTGCGTAATCTTGCGTAAGCGGACTACGGTGGACCTGGGATTGGACGTGCCTGTACAGAACCTTCCTCTTGTCTCAGTCCGAACTGCATGTCTGTGCTGAGCTGCGAGTCTCTAGATTGTAAGGGGAGGGCAACATTCTAGCAGGTGACAGCAAGTCAAGTGCCTTTCGGGGCTTCAGGTGGTTGAAAGTTTGTGACACAGCCTCAAAATCCTCAAATGTCTCAAATACTTTGATCTCCCAAGACCTGCTCTGAGGAAACGGAGCTGCCAACCAATCGGAAGCTACATTCCTTTGGCGAGTGAGCATCCTGGGAAACGTTGGCTGTGCGATGCTCTATCTTCGCTGCCGAGGCAGCGAAGGGAAGTTTCTGCTTAGCATGCTTGCGAGGTTCCATGCTGGGCGAGGCAGCAGCTATTTGCCTGGCCAGCTGCTGCAACAGTCCCAGCCTCATTTTGTGGCACAAGATACTATTGTAGAAGTCTGTGTTTTGCCGGTCTCTAGCCTGATAAGTTTCCAGTCATAGCAGACCCAAGACCTGTGAGCCTTGTGCCTCGTGCGAACGTTGCAAGGCGTTTGCCTCGGACGTTCAATGAAAGCTTGGGGCACGCTGCACAGGAAAGAAGGGAGGCCGGAAGTCGATGGAAGTTCTGGCTTTGCGGCTGCAGCTACACTCTCCGGTTGTTTCCTGTTCATTTTCCACGTTGAACTTCTCGCATTTTCTCACTGTCTGCTGCATTCTGCTGTGAACTGTGAGACTGACGCAGGCCTACGGTGTGCCAGGCCTCACTGCAGGCCTTGGTCGGGGTTTCCCGGAGGCCTGGCCTCCGCGGAGTCTCCATGCCGCCTGACGCAGACTTTCACAGTATGGTGGACCATGGTGTACCCCAAACACCTTTGAACCCCGGGTTCAGTCTAGGATGAGGTTTACCTTTCCGAAAACGAGGATTTGCATGTGTGTGTGTGTCATGTACAGAAATTGTGTCTTGCATTGTATACTTGACGTATTCTCCACAGTACCTGCCATCCTACTTGGAAATGTCAACCTGCGACGGGACGAGCTAGCCTAATCAACAGGAGCGGACAGCAGCCTTTTAATAAGGATGTTTGGAGCCACAAGCAAAAGCAGATGAGCAACTGAGGCAGCCCCACCCGATGCACGGGACTCAGATGTGCAGACAGCACGGGGGTGTGCAGTTGCAAGCAGGACAGTGAGGCGGACCAACGGGATTGTTTCTCGAATCTAGTTGCTGCGAACATTCACAAGCCTTGAGTCTGTTCAGCTGCCGGTCATTTCTCCAGAAGGGTCAGGACTACAGCTTTCTGGCTATCCCAAGCTCTGCTGAGGACGATTGGCTGCTGAGCAACCGCGCTCGCACCTTCAACGGCAGTTCGGGGCACAGCATGAAAGCTGCACAGAATCTGTCGGGAGGCATGTTGGGGCTCGATGGGCTCGCTACACTGCCACAAGAGACACTGAGGCCTTCCGGGTGACCGTTGTGGAAGCTCGCCCGTGCAGACTCCGGCTGGCACTTTCATTGTCATGGGCTCACCTTGCCGCTGCAGTGTGGACCACACCAACGCCATGCGAACTCCGTCACGGTGTGACTGACATGTTTCCGTCGCAGTACATCAGATCGAAACAAGACCAGGCAACACCCACCTGGAGTGAGTCCGGCGAGCGCGCGGCCTAATCGAACACTCACTTGATTCATGCAGAATCCTCCACGGCCTGGCTTTGAAAATTTGCTACCTTGTTAGCCACTATACCTCATGCCAGCCTAGCCAGCCACTCAGCGGAAACCTGAATTACGCATTCACCCTTCAAGATCCTCACATTCCCAGACTTAGACGATTCTCGCGAACGAACATGTGAGAAGAGTTTTGCCGCCGCGAGGTTTGCAACTCGAAGGGAGGATCCATGCAGTCCGCTCTACATCCAGGCACGGCCGCTGGACAGCCTCCGTCGCCCTGACCGTTGTCAATAGTTTGAAAGTTGAAATTCCCCAACTACGAGGCTTCAACCTTAAGTATGAAATAACGAGCTGTACAGAGCTCAACACTTGTCCTTCAAATCAAGTCAGGAAGGTCAGTTCTAGTCCGGAGCCTTGCTGCAAATGGAGAAGGTTGTTTCTGTTACCGAGGTGCTTTTGAATGCTCAGACAGTGGCACAAGTTGTTAACTTTAGTTAGAAGCAAGCTGCGAGTGTGCGAAGAATACTGCGAATGCAGCAAGCTGTGGTGGCCAGCTATGCCTTTCGGACATTGATAGTCAATATAATATTAGTCAATACTGTTCAGCATTGTCCCAGCCATGGCTTGTAGGAGGTCAGTACAACATAGTATAATTGAACAGGTACTCTGTATCGTTGCATAGGTCAGGTACTCTCTTCTTGTTATATGAACGTGCTACCCACTGGCTGCACCTTCCCGTTTCATGGGCGGATCTTGGGAAAGGAGGCTCTCTCAGAGGTCTGGCACGGTCGCAAGTTTAACGAGTTGGCCCGAAAAAAATGAAATCCCCAGAGGGCCCCTCCAAAATGGCCCCTCTAGCGCTCTGTCGCGCTGTGAGCCTTGAAGTTCGGAGTTTCTGCCTTTGCTTCGTTCTTCCGTCTGGCTCTACAAACTGCGAATGGCAGGCTACTCCGCAGCGATGGGCCAGTGAGCACTGCCAGGAGACCATTTTGTGCTTAAACTTGGCTGTGGCCTTCCTCACCATAGGTCGCTGGTGTGGTACTGCCGCCAACCCTGAATCACGACCCAAAACCGATGCCCTCAAACAGCAAATCCTGACCACAGTCTCCACATCAGCATTTCAGAGTTTCGAATCACAGTTTCCAAATCAGGGCTAGTTTCCCCATTCCTGATTTCGACCACTTGCTCCACCTTAAAGGAACCGGGCAACAAGAAATGATCAGAGAGACTCTGTTGACTCTGTTTTTGGCTGGCTGAGTCCGTGAGGTTGACTTCATCGAAGTGGAAATGGATTGAACTTCGGTAGCCGTCAAGCCGTCAAGACTTCATCATGCTGACATGCCAGGAGATGTCACAGCCCTCGACTGGGCTCTCCAACTCTCAAGTCTACCATGGCTCCGTGCTCAACAAGCGTTAGCGGGTTTGAGCACCGTGAGACGCAGCACCCGCCACAATGAAGCCATGATAATCGTATTGTTTGCCTTCCTTTCAATCTTAAGTTCAGCAAGGTGAAAGTAGCTTGATTGATCTTTTTCTAGCTGTTCGCGCCACGTGCTAGAAGTACCATGCTGCGTATCTTGAGGCTTCGCGGGTCTGCTTGCAAGCTCCGTGTCGGTCTCGGTGTGAGTTGCAGCGGTTATCGGTGCTTGTGATTGCATGTCGCCGGCACTCAGGATCCGCAGTCGTTCTACCGTGACCCGAGCTTGTGACGGCCTGTAGTGCCCGATGTGGTACCTGAGTGGTACCTGGAAGCGTGCAGGTGTGGGATGGGAGGACGTTGGCTCTCAAGCACAGGGCTAACTTTGGGAGACACGGGGCTGAACGATGCTGAAAGCGAGGCACGTTCGCCTGTTTTTCCATCTTCAATGGTGTTGCTTGCACTGCAAGAAACTGCAAGCGCAGAACTTTCAACACTTGCTTTCCTAGGGTCCAGCACAGAACAGATTTCGTCTGTTCACCCCATGTGTCAGTCTCATGATCCCATTCAAGCGCAGCTGGGAGAAAACAAGGTGGATTGGCGAATCAGATTGTGGTGAATCATATGGTCCATATAAATGACGAAATTAGTGAACAGTCCAATGCTAAACGAGGAAAGATGATTTGACATTTCTTGCTCTACCCATCATATGCGACGTTCTGTTACATTGATGGGTGGATGTTATGAAAAAGCTTCTTGGATCATTGGCTGACCCAAGATCTCCAGGACAATAGGTCATAAACATAAGTTTTGCATCGCCTGCGCGTTCCGCTCCGCGACCGCGGCCCGAGCACGCACAAGTGCGCCCACACGAGTGCGGCCGAAATCATCCGAATCTTCATTCTTAATTTTCTCATCTTCCGAATTCGAATATTCATCGGAAAAGAAGCTATACTTTAAATAAAGTAAATAGATGGATACATATTTTTCTTCTTTTTTCTTTTTTAAAATTTCAAATAGGCTTAGATCATTAATCTTAAAAGAATTGGAATGATATATGAATTATCGAAATTATTCATTTTGATATGATATTAAATTTATCATCTCACGATGAGAAATGGTTTTAGTTAGGAAGATAACATTTCATTCATGGATTTTCATTCTATTTTACTAATAATATCTATCATGAAATTTCTATATGGATTTTGGGCTGAATAAATTTGGAATTATCGCTCTCATTTTTTTGGGCAAAATTAAATATTTAATCGAGATTATTTGATTCGTATTCTCATTGTGTTTTTTGAACAATTTCATTATGGATCTCATTTTCTTTTCTGAAGATTCTCTTTATCGATTCGTTTTCTAGATTACATATTATTAGAATCTATTGAAATATGGTTTATTTGAATGGAGTATATAAATTTCAATCTCTGATTTTCAATAATATATTATTTTGATGGGAAAAATGTTCATTCTCTTTCTCTTGAATATAATGATTTGATCTGATGTTATGAAGAAAAAATTCTTTTGTCATTTCTTTCTATATCTATTAGTTATA